CTACTATTATTCCTTTTTTGAAACCCGGGGGCGACAGTGCGCTGGTTTCCAGTTATAGACCAATTTCTTTAACGCAAATTCTTGGCAAAGTGATGGAAAGTGATTCTCAATAGATTACTTCCGACGATCCAGCAAAGTAAAAGACTGTCAAACAAGTATTACAGCTTTATTCCGAACAGAAGTTGCCTGGTCCTGCTTAATAAATTGTTCAGTAGCATTGTGCACCACAGAAAGCAAAGGAAAATTGTTCAGCTGGTGGCCCTTGATCTCAAAGCTGTATTTGATTGTTTGGCATGATGGCCTGCTCTATAAAATCATGCAATTCGGTGTTAAAGGGAATAGTATCCTGTGGATTGCTAATTTCTTGAATCAGAGAACAATCAGAGTAAAGTGGAGAGGGGGCCTTTCAAAAAGCTATGAGCTTACCAGCGGTGTCACTCAGGGCTGCGTTTTGTCTCCTATTTTCTTCACAATCTTCATGAACGATATCTATGAAATTATCCCGGCTGATGTCGACTGCTACGTGTATGCGACTGACATATTGCTCTACAGTGAAAATGTCTCGTTCTCCAGGGTAGTCAGTAATTTGCAGCGTGCGCTGTTTAAAGTGAATAGATGGGCTAAAGAGTGGAACTTATGCATTTCCCCAGAGAAAAGTAAATAGATCATTTTCGGTAGGATAAAGAGTAGTAAAGAGAATCTACTGAAGCTTGATGGTGTTAGCATCCCTACGGAAGATCACATTAAAATGTTGGGCATGTGGTTTGATTGTAAACTGAGTTGGAACGCCCATGCATATAAAATAGTACCGAAACTGGAAAGAATGCTGAATGCATTTAAATTCATCGCGACCCCCAGGTGGGGTGCCAGAAAAGTGGATCTCGTTAACATTGCTAATGCTACAATAAGAGGAAGAATAGAATATGGCAGCTGTCTCCTCATGTCTACCTCTGAACAAAATAAGAAAAAGCTTGAAATTGTTTATAATCATGCCTTAAGACTGGCTATAGGGGCGCTATCAGCATCCCTCTCCCATCGTTATATGTTGAAGCAGAGGTTTTCACCTTAGATATCAGAAGATGCATCACCTCAACTAAGTTCCTAATACAGAATATTGCTCTGTCAGCATCCTCTCCCATTGCGAAAAGTTTGAAAAATTGTTTGCAAAGATGCAAGTAAAAGTGGAGCAAAGTACGTAAGCCCATTAGACAGTGTGTTAAAGATAAGCTAACCAATCTCGATCTAGATTTCAGCAAGTGTATTACTTTTAACAATCAGCTAGATTTTTCTGAAGAAGTAAAGTGTTTCAAAATAAATGAGTATGAGTTCCAGGACAAAAATCTCTCAGATGTGGAGATGCAGCAATTTTTCCGCTCCATTATTAATGATTACGTAAATCAAGGTTTTAAGATCTACGCTACAGACGCTTCCAAGTCTGATACAGGAGTAGGTATTGCGGCTGCAGATCATACCACGGTGATTGTCAGTCAGTGCTTAGACAATAGAGCTCCATCTTTTCAGCTGAGGTTTGGGCCCTTTGTAAGCTTCTTGAGAAACTGAATCCTAACGAAAAGGTTGCTATCCTTACAGATAGCAAATCTGTAGTCAGCGCGTTGAGCTGTCATCTGGGTTCCTGGCCATAAGGGTATAGAGTTCAATGAAAGAGCGGATAAAGTTGTGAAAAGAAGAAATATGAATAACTTGGGGGACCTTTCAGCAGAGGATGTGTGTAGTTTCATCGAGAATACTATTAAAGAAGAGCAAGTCGCCTGCTGGCGAACTTCTTACACTGGCCGCAGATTCAGCTACTGTAATGTTCATTGTGAGTGGAGTAAAGGATTAAACATCGATAGGAAAAATGGAAGTAGTAATCAGTAAAATAAGATTGCAAATGTTGGACATGAACCAACTGTTGTACAGGTATCGTAGAGCGAATTCCTCATTTTGTGACTCATGTTATGTGATTGACAGTACAGAACATGCAGTTATTCACTGCAGAAAGTACGATAATGCCAGAAACATTATGCTCAAGAAGATGAAAATTAGCAATATTGACTTCTTAGCTGATCTTTTAAATCATTGTAATAAGAAACCTTGGAGATATTATTTCCTAGGCAAATTTGTCATCAAATACATCCTAAAGAATTCATAAGTACTATTTGTGTAAGGGTTTGGTTTTCGGACCGACGTTTCCCCCTGAATTGGAGGGAATGCCTTCTTGTGGTTTAACATGTAAATAACATTATATTTGAGTTGAAGCGTAAGGCGCCAAAGGGAAGCCAAGCTTCAAGAAGAAGAAGATCATAGTTTATCCAAGGACCTCCTTGTAGCTGCAGCTGACAATTCGCCTTCTATGTTAAGCTGCGTTCACACTGGTCCGTTGGGGCGAAAAGAGACAATGAGGGAAAAAAAAACGCTTTCCGCATATGTCAGTACGCATCAGCATGGCAACTTTTGCTTGCACTAGATGGTGCTTCATATCGGAAACTTGTGGAAAAACGTGAAATTTTTGTGTGGTATTTTCACTTTTTATGATTACATTTTTTAATTACAATGTATTTAATTTTTGCTCGATTAAAACTTATTTTACTTCTTGCTTCATGTAAGAGAAGCAGAATGCAGTGGTTTATATTCATATGTGAGAGATGACTGCAGCAAGGTAAACAAAATATAGGTAACTCTCTAATCATCAGACTGGATCGAATGTAAAGTAATAAACAGAGGAGCATTATTCCCCACAACGTTTATTGACGAACACCAAAGACGAACTGATACATAATTATGACATCACAGTTTCTTTTTACAAACACTACCGCCATCTATTGGCAATCTAAGGATACATAAGCATAAACTTAACACAATGAGATGCAAATAATTTAACTGAAAAATGCGCTTGAACGAAACGAAATTTCTTTTAATTACTTTTGCATGACACCTTATCGATTTGATGAATTTCTAGCCCTGTATTTATTCAAAAGCAGAATACTAATTTTTGTCATAATATTGCAGAAAAGAATCTTTTGGAAGACAGGAATAGGCTATCCCAGAAAAGGATAGTTGTATATATCAAACGTTGTATGTACTTAATTTAATTTATTTATGAATTTTGTTGAATGATAATTAAAAAATCCTAATTGCATGATTCTATTTTGGAGAGTAAATTTTTCATGGCGTAGAATACCATAAATGTTTTTGCATGATCTATGCACTTTCCTTAATTGGTTCAAATAATGCAATAAAAAAGTATATTTTGTTTAAATATATGTAGGATTTACAGCATTACTAAATTAAATATCACACTTTACAAAAAAGCAGTTATTTTTAAGTTAATAAACAAAAGCGATTTTTTAAAAAAAATATTTTAGTTTCTGCCTTATATAATATTTTTTGCCTTAAATCTAACAGTAATAAATTCAATTAGTCATTCATATATTAATAAACAGCCACTATCTAAAGGTTTTTTTAATAAGGTCACTTTTATCTAAAACTCATTGAAGTAACTGCACTTTATATAACACTTCTTTTTCTGCATTAAAATATGATTCCACAATTAGCAAATTTGCTGATGCTCATGCAAAAGTTTTTTAAATTAATGAAAAATTATCATCAAGATTAAACATTTCGTAAAGTAGTCATGCATGTTAAGAAAAACAATCATGAAGCCATTAAAATGGATAGAAGTATTCCATAAAATTAGCTATATACTAGCGAGCTTCTTTTCTGTATAAATAACAGTTTTTCTCAATTTTTTTAAACAAATAATTTACTTGTCACCAACTGTGTAAAATTCAGAACTCACTAAAGTTTTTAATTAAATGAAACAGCAACTTTATACTAATTACCAGTGCCTCTTTTGCTAGTCTCGTGTCACTTGAAATACAATCAGATCATAGTAGTCAGATCTCCTTATGAATTATACCAAAGGATCGTTGTCAAAAGAAGGATAATGCACACAATGCCGAGTGAAAATTAAGTTTATATGAATGATGAATGAAAAATAAATGTAAGCTTCTTGTGTCCCTCCCCCTCCAAAAAAAAATGTCTTGGTAGATTAAAAAAAAAAAAAAAAAAGGAGTAGTTGTACCATGATCAAAGTTAGGAAATTAGGAAAACATAAGGCCCGAACCCACAATACAAATCCCTAGTAAAAGCTGAATTTACTACTTGAGGGTCTTAACTCTGCACTTAGGTATCTTGCAGATAAGCATGGTTTCACACTTCACGTTCAGGAAAGTGAAGAAGCATCTGGGCTACTCTGAAACTAGCAATAATATTTTATGTTAACATTTTTTTTTTAAAAATACCAACTCCATTACAACACCACTCCTAGTGTCGCCTGAATACAAAATCTTTAACTTAAGCAGCCAACGTTTCATTCACTAGGCAACAAGAGCAACCTTAAACTGATGCAGATACATTTTTAGAAAAATTCAAAATCTGGGATTTCAAAATCCATCACTATTTTCTCACAACAATCTATAGCTTTAGGTTATTTTGTAAAAATTATCAACTATATATAATTTATGGTTGATTTTTAAGGTTTATTATTGCTAATAAACTTGAGAATTTTCCTTTAAATAATTTATAAAGCTATTTATTCTATTAGCATATGCATTTTTTTATTATTATCTGAATTTTTATTAAGATTAGTCCATTTGACTTTTTATCATCAAGAAAAATTTGAAAGTGCAAGTTTTTAAAAACCATGGTATAAACTGGACGTTTGAAACGAGATGCCTGAAACTGACACCTCAAGCATAAAAAAGTTGAAGTTAAGTCAACTCATGCGGTCTCCGGCCATCCGGTAAATGCCACCTCTGAACTCGCTTCTGATTGGTTAACGCTTTACTTGCGAACCTGTGACTGCATTGCCGTGAAAGCAGCTTTAGACGTCAAAAATGTAATCTCCTATATGAAATGTCATCAACTCGCCATCTAGTGGGTTCCTTGTAATGCCCTTTTTGTAACAGTACATAAACTGGCATTCCTGTGTTCTTGGCTTAATGCTTAGTACTCACTATAGTGCTAACATTGTATTAGTGTTCCTGGGGGGGGGAGGGAGGAGCATCAATTTTTTTTAAAAATTCTATTACCATGCAAAAATGCAAGTACCTTCTTTCTATATTATAAATAAAAACTATTTACTTGTATATTTCTATTGCATTTTAGGACCCATTAAAATGAGTAGTAATGGGAAAAAATCAAAGACAATCTTCATGAAAAATGGGAATTTGATTACTATTTTTACTATGATGAATGAGAAATGTTGTTACTTAAAATGCAATGGTGCCATATCTGCTGCTGTATTCTGAAAAGACCTTTTTAAGTTTACATGATGAATATCAAAGAGATTATCCGCAAAATAGTGACTTGAAAAAAATAAAATTTTAAGGCTCAACAGAATCTTTAAAAAAATACCACACTGAAATCATGTACAGTGACTATTGCATTGCTCAAAGTAAGTGATATTTTTGAAGGGGAGGGGGGGAAATCCATTTCTGTTAGCGAGTTCATAATTAAAAAAAATTTCTTGAAAATGTCAGATACACTTTGTAATGATTTTAAGAACAAGATCAATATTATTGCTGCAATTAAAGGTCTACAATTGCCTTAAAATATTGTAATGCAGAAAATTGAGAAAATGAATGAAAACAGATGAGAACAAATGTACAGTAAAATTAAAAGTGTTTTTGTTTTTCCTCTTCAGTTTGATGAATCAACAAATTGCATCTTTTAATTTGTAAGATTTTTGGAAGATTACACATATAAAGAATTGTTGGGCATGAATTCTTTGAAAGAAAGGTTTTTGGCTTGGTTTATGTGATTATGGCAAAGCCTTGAAGGCTATCTGAGAGGCATGCTTGGTGGAGGACTTTTTAAAGGAAACTAGTTTGTATACACATGAGGAAAACCACAAAAATATCCATGCAACCAGCCTATTCAGAGGATTCGAACTTTGAACCAAACAACCAGTATTCAGTGACTTTATCACTTGGTCGCTAGTGTGCCCTTTTGATAGAAAGGACTAGATGTGTAGACATAAACTCCTTTTAAAAATCTTTACTAATTTGACTCTCTGTAAGGTGCAGCTACAAAAGAACTGTTCTAACTTAATTGTGATAGTAAACAGATTATATTTACAAAAATGGTTTGTAATGTGGGAACATCACGCCTGTTTCTACTGCAATGTATATATACGTATAATGTCCTGAAACAAGATGCCTGCACCCACTACAATAGATAACATCTTCAAACATGCACCTGTACAACTATGTATATCACAATCTATATCATGTAATGTAATCCATTTTACTTGAGCTAATTATAACTCTAAAAGGTAGGAGTGCCCTTGATGATGCCGGCAGTGGCAGAAATTGCTAGCTGGAGTCCCTTTTTCCATCATGACTCGAGGAATGATGCCGGAATGTTGTTAGTTTTCTAGTTAGTGTGTGGGCTAATACCTACTTACTTAAGGTAAATATTAGGTGGCCCTCTCACTTCTACATAATATAACATACAAAAGAACTGTATATTATGAGCTGTTGCCCATAAATCAGATAATAAATTTAAAAAAAAAATACTTTTCTCAAATGGTAGTTTTAATAGCAGAAATCAAGGCAAAGTGTCCACAACTGATCAGTCACAAGAAGTCTTCCATGATGACAGTGCTCAGCCCCACATTGCAATGAGTGTCAACAGAGAGTTATTGAGTAAGGCTGGGATGTTGTGTCTTCCCCACTATTTACCAGATCTTGCCTCTAAAGTTTTTCTTCTCTTCAGGTTGCTTAAAAATTCTCTGAATGGTATGGAGTTCATTCCTTGGAGATAATTAAACAGCATCTCCATGACTTTTTATGAATAAACCTAATAATGTTTTTTAAAAAAGGATTTTTCCATGATGCTGATGTAACTCAATGAAATTTTCTTATGTTTTTGTACTGCTTTATTTTTATTTTGGATGACCCATTAGAAATGTGTTAGAAGTACTCTACTGGATAGCTCAAATCTGCAAAAGAGGATGGATGCTTTTGTGGAGAGGACTTCTTAAGGAAAACTGGAAAATGCATTCACATTACTCATGGGAGAAATTAGAAGCCTTTGTTTATTTTATCTCAAGTGAACAAGTGACTAATTGAGAAACAAGATGGAAAAAAACATCCTTCCATTCAAGAAAATCAATGTAAATAATACTCCTCTAAAAAATATGAATTTTTAAAATAAATTTTATTTTAATATTTTGTGCACAATAAAATAATTTTTATGATTAATGCATGTAATAATATTTACTTTCGTCTTCCAAAAATATTTATATCATATCAAAGTAAAATCCTAATATTTTTCAGGTGAATTTAACTTCTATTTACTCAACACATTTTTTCCCCTCTCTTCAAGTTCTGCTTACTGAAAGTCAATTATATAACTTTCTTAAATGTGAAAGTTAAGAACATAAATAAATTATTTTAATATATATTTAAAAAATTTAGATAAGCATATAACTCAGATGTAGTTTCCGAAATAGATATTTTATTATTTTTTTAGGCCAATATAAAAAATTACAGATTTTTTCTGAATTTATGTATTCTGGTGTATTATAACAGTTGCCAGCAACTACGTCAGATTATTAATCCATACATTTATTACGGGATATTTTTGAAATGTCCTGGTCAATTATATTTAAATATTAACAACTCATTTTCAGAATATACAGCAAATCAATTCCATGAATGCATATTAATAGCAGTTCTTAATTTACTAGTAGTGCTCTTTATTTTTAACTGAGATTCATGTCTGAGAATGTAAATTTATATTTCCTTAATTATGAGACTGTTTTCAGACTTTCATATGCTGGCTTTTCTCTCTTTCTTTTTTTCCCTTATATATTTTTAAAGTTTCAAAAGTACTTTTGTCATAATAAGTTTTTTTTAATAGATATGAAAAATTAATGGTACTCTTCTCTTACCGGGACCTGATTCAGAAAAAAAAATATATATGTGTGTGCATGTATGTTTATTATGTGTATATATATACACATTTTTAATATGTTCCCCATAACAGCAAAGTACCAAATTAATTATGTCTTTGATGAAAAATGTAAAACTATAAACAACTTAATCCAACATTTTTCAGTTAACTAGAAATACTGACATCTACAACACAAAGACATGTAGCAATCTGCTATGAATGGCTGAAGTGAATGATATGCAGCAGCAGGAAGCAATTTTCTGAAGTGAAAACCATCCACTATTTGAAATGCCAACTTGGCTTTCAACACTAGCCAGTGATGAACTATTGTTTGCCAACTGTGAACTTGAACCATCAGAACAGAAATCTTGGTCAAAGGACTAATCAGAGATCTCTTTCTGTCTTTAGACAAAAGTTAGAGATATATGGACAGAATGTTTAATTCCTTACACTTTCACATTACTGTCTGCATCTGTATCTAACCTAAAAAGCTTTCCTCTCACAACAGATATATAAATATATAGTTAATTCCTATTCTTAATATAATTCATAACTTATTAACTACATGTCAGTCGAATGCTCAGAAATATCAAAACTCATTTAAAGGGAATGTATCAAACTTTAGAGTGAAACTTTTCAAGAAATTAGAGGCATTAAATTATCTTTAGGTCAGAAAGATTAAAAGAAAAAACACAGATGATATAAATACACAGATAAATTTTATGAATACAAATGTTCATGCATTTATTCATGGAATCTATCTAGCTTCATTTCTCAGCGGTTTCCTCAGAGCTTCATAAAGACGTTTTGCCTAAAAGAAAGAGTCACATTTAAAATAAATACTTAAGTTTTATTAAAAAATTTTGAAAATTATTTCTGGCACAGAGGATAGCTAACTTAGGTGAACCCAAACCCTTTTTTTCACTTCGTTTTTAATAATTATTTTCAAAGAAACAATGTGAAACTTCTATAAAAAAACAATATTCCCATTTATCAATATTCTTTGAGTATAGTTTGAAATTAGTTCAAAATCATATCTTACCTTTAATGGTCCAAAACCAGGACATGCAGCTAACTCTTCTATTGAAGCTTGTATGATACCTTTTAAAGTCTAAATATCACAGAAAATATATAAACAAATACTTTTAAAATTTCTATTTCTTAGTGTTATATGCAACAGATATATACTTCTTTGGGCAGGGGTGAGGGAGAAAAGCACTTGAATAATCAGTAAAACTCAATCTTTGTTTACATGACATTAATTTAATTAAAATCAGTGAAATGAAAGCCAGAGATCTGCTATAGAGGAAACAAAATTTAATAAATTTGAAAATATGAATTTAAACTTATCTGTTAAATTTCTGAACAACAAGTGCTAGAGTAAATATTTTAAAATATATTCACTTAAGATCTGAAATCTAGAAAAGCTAGTCAATGCAGTTAAACTAAATTATACAAACTTATAAACTATATAAAGCAAATTAAAATATTAATTTAAAACTCATTTCTACAAAATCCTCTAGACACCAGGGCAGATAACCCTGATTTATTATGGTAATAAATCAGATCATAATTTCAGATACACATAATTAATTTATTCCACATCTAAACTGCATATAAGTTGCCAAGGTTCATTTTAGAAAATTTATGTTATCTTTTAGGATCATGCGGGGACATGATAGACCACTATAGAAGTAAACATACACAAAAATTTGCAATTAAAATACATTTATTAATCATAGATTAACAAAGTTAAGGTAGATGGATGACTGGCTACAGGTCGCTACAACAGTTTTTTCTTAAATGTCTAAACAACACACATTTTATTTTGTTAATTAAAAATACTCTGCATTTAGAATAATGAACAAATTAGTGTTTTGCACTAACCTGAACTTCACTTTAACCAATTATCTCTCATTACATATCTAAATATTACAAGTCATTAATTTTAAGTTACTGTATGACAATACAGAAGCCAAAATACATGTAAAATGAGTTAAAATTTTTTCTTCATCAAGTGCATGCAACAATTTGTCCATTTGTACCAACTGCTATCTCTGCCTCACTCAATTTCTGCGCCATAAGAAGGTCCTGTTTTGTATTAGCTGAGAAATGCTTGGCGCCAGAGCGGAATCTTGGCTAATGGTGCATGCGCCGCCGGAATTGGTGTTGAAATGTATTCTGTGAGAAACTTGATTTTTGTAGTACATTGAAAGTTGCGTTTCATATGTTACGCTTTAAGGTGAAACCTAGCGCCAGAGAGTCGCTATGGAAAATAAATGTATTGAAACTGTGTAATGTGTGTGGTGTTATTTTATTATGATATATAGCTATCAATGGATAATAGAATAAGTCAATGCAGGTCCAATTTATCAAGAATTCTAGAACACAAGAACTTCCACCATCGATCTAAATTTGGTGTAGGAGGAAATATACTTGGAATAGGGACTGCAAATTTAAGATCTTCCATGCACTCAACAACAGCTGTTTAGATGCTCCTCTAGCTATGCAAACAACAGCAGATAGATAACAACCGTCTATATGTCTCAGTCAGAAGAAGAAGCATAAGAATCTTATTTTCCAAAGCTTACGACCCATTCAGAACCTTAGTCAGAAGATGAAGCATAAGATTTATCTGAAGACAGACAATTCTGAGGCAATCTTGCTGGGTGAATTGGACTCGCAACCGCTGACTGGGAACAAGGCGTCAGCGTCAGATCTTTGATTTTTCTGATGTGGGGCAAAAGCTAAAACTGCCGCCCTCACCCATCATCCTTTAAGTTTCTCTAACAAGTTCTAATTTGTTTAATAAATACAGAAATAGATAGGGTTTGAGGTAAAAACCTAAGCTCCATTTTATAGTAAATGCTTTACTTGCTTTTTTTTTTTTTTTTTTTTTGTTATAAAGGGAAAATACATACCAAAGTTACATAACTAGAAAATTGCCCCCTTGTTTTTTTTTTTTTGTTTGTTATAAAGGGAAAATACGTACCAAAGTTACATAATTAGAAAATTGCCTCCTTCTAGGAGAATCGCCTTTCTGGAGAGCTTACTTCCTGATTCAATCCTAATCCTAACTCTAATCCTGAAGTGCTTCTAACCCTCCAGTCCTCGCCACCATTCATTTTTCCGCTCTAGGGGGAACGGGCATCTCCTAAGCTTCTCACTATTCTGTATTATTGCATATTGGTTCAATTAGGTCAGATTATATGAATATGGCAAAGACAAGAGGGCTATCTGATTAGAGGATACGTTCTTTTGTGGAGGAACTTTTTAAAGGAAACTGGCTCGTATTCATGTTACACATGAGAAAATCCACGAAAACAAACCTTGCAGCCAGCCTGTTCACCTGGGTTTGAACCCTGGCAAGGTTGAACTACCAGTATTCAGAGGTCATTCAGCGGTATGTTTTGCCTTTAAGTTAATAACTTCATTTTGAATCATCTTTGATAAATATGATTTCTTTCCCTTTGCTAAGTGCTTTGAGTGGTATTTAAGAGTTGAATTACATTTGGCAAGCGGAGAGATTAAATTAGAAAATTTACTTCGCTAGGTCGAGGACACTTTGTGAACAGGCTACTTGGGATTTCATCAGATCCAAGAAAAGAACGACAGTTTGTTGAAAGATACATGACTATATAGAATCTCTCTCCATTTTTCTTTCTCCGTGTGAATGAGTCACTCAGTGTCATGATCGATGCCTTGGCACGATTTCATTTGTTGTACTCAAATTTTCCATGTAATCATGCACCTCTGTGGATTTCAGATGCTTCGTGCTCAGTTAATTTTGCTAAAACTTTTTTCCAATTAATGAAGCCTGTAGTATGGTGTAGTGGGAGCACTATGTTTCTGATAAATCTTGCAGGGTGTACAAAAAATTGCATTCTTGTTTTTAGAATATGTAAACCATGATCTTCTAGCTTTTCATTATATACTAACATTCTGTATCACATGTCAAATGTCTACCATCATGTTCAATAGGACTGAGGTTTACATTTTTTGGATGTTTATTGGCTAATAATACTGATTGACTGCTTAAGAAAGACTGTTGGTGATCGTTTATTGTTTTCTATGACCAGCCAACTGCATGGATCCAACAAATCAAAATTTTTTAGATTTTCATCTTTCTGCTGCCCACCCCCATATAAATGAAGAGATCTTTATATCATGGTTTCATGTTCTCCAGCTACTATCGATGGAGAAGGTTGTTCTTTCAAATGCTGATTTGTAGATTGTTTGGGGATGATATATGCAGTCATGTTTGATCGTGCAAATTGCACAAGAAATAGTAATACCCTCTAGAATCTCAACATAATTGGAATTGCGGCAGGGTCTTATGATTTACTTCTTCCGTGAAGTTATTTTTTCATCTTAGCTGAAATTTGTTTTCTCTGTTTGGCCTTATCTTCGGCTCACTTTCTATATTCCGCTTTTCTTCCCCTCGGCACGCAGATGATTTCTTTTAATCTAAACGAAATTCACCATGAATTGCCTTAATAAGAATAAGAACTGACGTAATTACACTGAATAGTATTAAAAAAATGGTTGCGTATCGCTAAATATAGTGTGAGCTATTAAAAGCAAGCATATCTAGGAGGGGGGACCCCCCCAAAAAAAGAGTACTGAAGAGACTTGATAACTATTTAAAAAAAAAAAAAAAAAAAAAAAAAAATCTAGCTTTAAAATCCAAAATGTGCTCCACTGTTCCGATTCAAACCAACGATGAGCCTAAGTTGCGTTGCCAACTGGCTGCAAACAATTCTAAATGCTTTGCTTCATCTTGAATACATAATAACGGTGTCTTGTATATATTCAACGAATATTAATTTGAATTATTTCATTTATACAGGATGGTCCAAGGTTAATTTTTTTTGGGGGTTAGCTCTTAGAAAATAGTTACAATGCTTCTCCATTTCCCAGCAGACGTTGCTATGAAAACCAGGTGGCTTCTTCAACAAGCTATCGGCTTATAAGGTGACGCAGTCACTAAAGTCAGGTATCAAGTTCAATTTCTCATTTGAATGCACCCCACCCAGACAGGAAACGATAGAGGGACTCCAGATGTTACTGACAGGGTCAGTCTTATTCTATCATTGATGCCTGGAGTCCCTCTATTGGTCTCTTTCTGATGTTATATTTATAGTTGTAATCGGCTGTACTTAATTTTAACTCATATTCATTTAAAAGGGTTCTTAGTATTTAATTATAAATCTTCTTAAAAGAGGTTTTTAAACTTGGCCTTAAAACTATTAACATTGTACTAAAATTAGAGAGTTGTTTTAGTGAAAACATACCAAATACGATCCAGCGTTATATTTGAATTTGCCACCCGGGGCAAGAACTTCGGCTTGCCCCCTGCTAGATCCGGAACTGACAAGCGTCACACTTTTAAGTATTCTCAAATGATTGTTCTTCTCATGACCATGATGGCTGTGAAGATACATCAACATCCTTATTTATTGGGAAGCTGGACTTGGGGGACTGTGCTCTGTACTGCAAGGAGAAGCCAAAGCCTTACCTATTTTCATTCTTTTTTTAATAATTTCCATACTGTGCAAAAATCCTCTCCTCCTCAAGTGCAACAACTTTAAACCTCAGCTTCTCAAAAATGAAAATTGCCTAATTTCTACCCATTCAAATTAAATTTCTTTCTTAAACTATCTCCAAGCAACAAGAAAAAGGTAATAACTTAAAGACATTTTTCTAAATAAAAATGGCCTAATCCTTTCAAAAATGACAAATGCTCGTTTTATGCAAAATTTCAAGGAATTTGTTAACTGTATTTCTGTCATAACTGTGACATTAGCAGTAATAAACAAATCAGAAAAGTTTACACTTCATACGAAGCTGAAATTTCCTTCAAACAAAACATGTCTTCAGTGCTGAAAGTTTAAGGAGGGAATCCCTAACTGTCCGTGCCTCAAGAGAAAACTGTGCTTAAATGATAATATATTAAATTCATTAAGAATTAGTACAAAAACATTAAACTCATTATGAACTAGTACACAACTATTCATATATTAAATTCATTACACTGTGTGAATAAGCACAACAATAGATTATATTTTACCAGTAGTAATTTACTGCATTGAAAATTAATTTCACTAACTTACTTTGAACGTGGAGAGGAGAACCATAGCATCTGTTTTATTTACTGATCTTATTGTAGTCAAGCAGTCAATAAGCTGAATTAAATAGAGGAGAAAGTACAATAAAATAAAATACAAGAATGTAACTTTTCATAAAAGCACTATATTTGTAACATTTGCTGCAAATTTAATTAAAAAATTATATTATTCAGTTAATTTATTCCATAATGGAGACTAATTAAACATATAATACGACTTTAATTTGTAATTAAATTGGAAGTAAATAAGTTGGACAAATAATTATAAGGTAGTTAGCTAAAATACAATAAATAAATTTCAGTTACTGAGCTTTTCAAAGATAAATTTATAAATCAAATTATTTGATTAATAATAGAAGCCTTAAACTTTTACATTTAAGTATTTTAAATGCAAGATAACATATAGATGAGGTTACTAGTTGAATGCACAACTTTTAATATGCAAATTTTAAACGAAAATCGTTTACACTGAATGTTAAAGTCTGGTTTATTATGTATAAAAGTTTATTTACCTACCTGTGAATAATTATCATTATCTTGTTTTTCTTTTATTAGGTCAGCTGATTTATTTTCAAACATTTTATATGTTTCAAGATAATTTCCAGCTTCTTCTGCACTATAAGTAAATAAAACATTCAGTCAGTAAAGAGACTAGAAAAATATTTTCTTTTTTAAAGCAAGCAAGTATTCTTTTAAAGGGACATACATTGAGTAACTTTAATTAGTTATAATATGGCAAATAAGAAGTGTTGGTATCTACCTGTTAAAGTGGTCACTTTGGTCAAGTACCAAAATCGGAGGATTAGTTGCCAGAATTGGCAAATTTGTAATACAAGTAATAACAGTAACTTGTAATAAAAGTAATGTATCATAATATATATATAGTGTTCAATGTGCATAATGCAAGATGCCAAATTTGAGCAATTTTCTGTAGCAAAAACACCCTGCTGTATATTTGGGAACTGTATTATCAAATATAGTATGTGTGATATTTACTGTACCATATAATCCTTATTTAACAATTCAACTTTGTATTTAAATTATTTTCTTTTTTTGATATATAGATAGTGTTTGGGGATAAATATTTATGCAATGTAAAAAAATTCTTAGTATTCTCTTGCTATCTTAACCCCTTAAGGACCAGCGCTGGGAGAACGAAGTGCAGTCACGGGATTAGACCCGCTAAAATGGATCCTCACCACCGGCCCGCACATTTTCAGCAGTTAAGCCTAATAATAATTGTTGGAAAATATAGCTTATTTTTAAAACTTTTACTGCATCATCTCTCCTCCTTGAAATGTTTATTTAATTTAGTCCTTATTTTAATGTAATATAGTAGTTACTTCTACTTCTTTTTCTTGCTGCCACTGTTTGCATTGAGAACGGACTGCTTCAACCTAATTGAGATGCAAAAAACGAAACATGATGTTACGTCATCTGAAAAGCCGATTCGTGCCGATAGCTGATTGGTTGCCGTGAGATGACGTCATTCCACCTTTTGCTATAAGTATCTCGCTTCGCTCTGGCTCAATGCTATATCTCGCTCACATTTTAAGACGTGCATCTGCTCGCTCCTGATTTTGTGATATTAGAACTCTTCTTTTATTATACCTGATCAGAGTGCATGCCGCTGTAACAGTAGGTCGGCATTGCAATAGACTCTGGTTGCTTTCTCCGCTGCTTCATTTTCTGCCATCCGCTCCACCATGGATCGAATGATTGATTTTATTGCCTCTGAGATTACCAACTTAGAATGCATCAAAGAAGCTGATGGATCTCTCTCATCTAAGGACGCACGAGACCTTAAATTCCTTCGACGCCTCAAACTTTTCATTGACAGAGAACTGAACGCTGATCGTTCTTCTACTTCTCTTCCCAAACCAAACATCCCTGCTCCTAAGGTTAATGACAGTGATTCTTCAATAACTGGAATCAACAAAACTAATGTCAGACGAGCCAGCAGCCCTGCGCGCTCAGATGAAGAGCAGTCGAAAAAACATAAAGCACTGAATGAAGACAGCTCCGACACGGACTCAGGTCCTAAAGGAGATTTTACTAGAAGACTAAGAAAACCCCTCTCGAAAGTCTACTCTGACGGATTCCTCTGTTTTGTCAGAAGTTTCGACAGCTGAGCCGACCACGGAAATAACTTATGATAATATGGATACAGCCCCAGACGTGGATAATATGGATAAAGCCCACGCTAATGTGGCGCCATCTAGTGAGATCCCCGAAAAGCCGGCTGCGAGTACGTCTCAGACGGGAAAAGCATGGTGCGGTGCGGGGGGGGGGGGGGGGGCGGGGGGGGGGAGGGGGGGGGGGGGGGGTTGGGGGGGGGGGGGGGAGGGGGGGGTCAGGGGGGGGGGGGGGGGGGGGCGGGGGGTGGGGGGGGGGGGGGGGGGGGGGGTGGGGGGGGGGGGGGGGGGGGGGGGGGGGGGGGGGGGGGGGGGGGGGGGGGGGGGGGGGGGGGGGGGGGGGGGGGCTGGGCTAATAGGTGATGCTCATGATCATGAAACTGGTACCAATTCTGCCGAAAATAATGAGCAGGATGTGGATAAATTCATACATCCAAATAAAGTGAGCAATAAAGCTCCCCCGATTATTATACAGGATGGTAAATACTCCTGGTCAAAATATAAGGAAATGTTTAAAGATGCAGGAATTAAGCTAAAATCAGGTATAATGAAAGCTCAAGACCACTATGAGCTAAAAGTTGACAGTATAGAAACTCATAAGAGTTTAACTGCATTACTTAATGCCAAAGGAGTGAAATATCACTCATTTATTTTACCCGAAAACAAGAAGGTTAAAGTTGTTATACGCAGCTTACCGATCGACACGCCAACCTCAGAGATATCTGATGAACTGATAGATAGAGGTTTCCCAGTTGAACGAGTCTCGCAATTAGTAAGACGCAGAAATGGAGAAAAATTTAATCTGCCCCTGTTTCTAGTTATTTTGAAGAGGAATGAAAAAGCGAGAGGGATACATAATATAACTAAATTATGTTTGCTGAATGTTAAAGTAGAAGCTTACAAAGGAAGGAAAGGGCCGGTACAATGCTTTCGGTGTCAAGCATTTCATCATGCCCAGGCAGGATGTATGCATGACCCGAAATGCATGAAATGCGCTGGCGATCATTATTCAAAAGACTGCCCCAAGCCAAGAGAAGATAAACCTAAGTGTATAAATTGCCAATTAGATCATACAAGCAACTACAGGGGTTGCCCGAATTTTCCCAAAATAAATACTCAAAATCCGCCTTTGAAGAATTTCAGTGATAGAGTAATTATCAATAAATCTTATGCCGCCGCTGTTGGCGGGCAAACAATGAATACTCTAGATGAAGCTAGAAGTATATTTTGAAGGGCTTAAAAACCTTGTTGAGGCTATTAAGGCTTCCGGCATTCTACAAGTAAATTTAGCTCCTAGCGCCAATGCTAGTAGTTTCAACGCGGTCAATAATGAACCCAATCATGGATAGGAAAGATAATAATTTTAGGCCAATCAAGATGTTAGTGTGGAATGCTAACAACATAAGAGGAAAGAAAGATGAGTTGGAGGACTTTATGTATGAGAACGACATTGATATTTGCCTGATCTCCGAGACGCACATCACCCCAGGAGACAGAGTTAGCATCAAAAATTATAGAACCTACCGATGTGATAGGTTACATCACAGAGGAGGTGGAGCACTCATCTACGTTCATTGTAAATATTCATCTTGTTTAATTTCGACTGAAAGAGACAAGGGCTATGAAATTGTGATTGCCTCTATTAGCTTGCCTAAGATTGGAGATACCTTATTTGCGGCAATCTACAACCCCCCTACTAATAGGCTAACTGAGGAAATGTTACAAAATATTATTCCGGATTCTTCAATAATGATTGTTGGTGGCGACCTCAATAGTAAGCATAAAGATTGGGGCTGCCGTAGCACTAATCACAATGGTAAAGTACTGAGAGAGTATATCAGTAACCACCCAGTTGGTATATTTGCGCCTGACGTACCGACGACGTTCAGGCCCAGCAACATCAGGTACACTCCTGATATTCTAGATATCATCTTGACTAATACAGGAATTAATATGGTGCTGGAGGTTCGAGACGACTTAAGCTCTGATCATACTCCTGTGATTGCTACACTAGGGGTCACCAGTATTAATTATACGAATGTTAAGACCCATACCGACTGGAGAATGTACCACAATGTTGTGAAAGTGAGGCTCCCTAAATTAGGTGCTATGAAAAGCCCTTCTGATATTGACAAGGAGATTGATAAGTTTACTACATGTCTTAATGACTCTTACTATGAGGCCACCAAGGTTACTCAAAGGTCTTGTAAAATCGCTAAGATTCCAAGGTACGTCAAATCTCTCATAGCCGAAAGAAACAGGCTGCGAAGGAGGTATAATATCACCTGGGACCCAATTATTAAAACGGAGTTAAATAGGATCAGTAAGCATATTAAGCTTGAAATGCATAAATTAAAGTGTGAGGCTTGGAATGTTAAAATGGAGGAGTTAAACTTAGACAGTGATGCCTTCTGGCAGTTTACAAAAATGTTAAAGAGGACGCATCAGTGTGATAGGCCAATTATTGACAACGGCGTCACTGCTTATTCAGATACTGACAAATGTCAGATTTTTGCTTCACATCTTGAAAAGCAGTTTTCTCCCAATCAGACACCTCGTAATATTCACTTTGAGACCCAAGTCAGAATGAAAGTAGAAGAATGGCTAGGTGCTCCCACGGCTCTAAATGCCGATGGTTTAACTAATCCAAGAGAAGTTACGGATATTATCTCCAAATTGAACCCCAAGAAAGCCCCAGGTATTGATGGAGTTACAAATTTAATGATCAGGAACCTCCCGCGCGGGTGGAATCACACAAGACTTTCCAGCATTTTTAATATATGCATTACGTTATGCTACTTCCCGGACTGCTGGAAGTACGCAAAAGTTTTCCTACTACCGAAGCCTGCAAAAGACATCACTAAGGCGGAAAATCACAGGCCCATAAGCTTGCTCTCTAATATAGGCAAGATCTTTGAACGAATAATTTTAAGGAAATTCCAGCCTTATTTACAGGTACTTCCGGAAGATCAGTATGGATTTAGGAGCGAACTTTGCACATCTAAACAACTGATTAGGCTTGTGGAATTTATCGGCTCTGCTCTGCATCATAAGAGTTGTACTGCAGTGCTCATGCTGGACGTGGCCAAAGCATTTGACCGTGTCTGGCATGAGGGCTTAATATATAAAATTGATAATGATGAATTTGCCTAGAGAACTGATCTTACTCACCAGATCTTATATTGCAAATCGTTACTTTACAGTTAGCTGCAAGCAAAGTCATTCTGGATACAAAACTATCGCTGCAGGCGTCCCCCAGGGGTCCTGTCTTGGCCCAGTACTCTTATCTTTTCTATGCGGCTGATTTCCCGCGGGATAAACTCAACAGAAATACATTGCTGGCCTGCTATGCGGATGACACCGCTGTAGCGGTCAGATCTATTCAGCCTAACAGGGCAATTTCTGTTATGCAGGATATAATTATGGACATTGAGGAGTGGTGCTCCAGGTGGAAGATTTCCATCAATGCGACTAAATCACA